AAGTGAATTTTATAATACATATAATGTAAAGCAACCTTATTAATTATACTTATTCTAGGAAAAAACAAAATCTGACAACATAAAAAAATATATAAAATCACATTTTCGCGAACAATGATAAAGTAGGCATTTTATCTTGTTCGTTCAATTTATGTGTACTTTCGGTTTAAGCTTTTGTTCGTACGTTCTTTTATAGAACATTAAAAATAAGTACAAAAATAATGTAACATCGGCAATCACGTACAGCATAAATAACCTCGGAAAATTGCAGTTAAATGTGTAAAGGCCAGCATTATACGCCATGATCGATAGGAATTGAATCTAAAATAATGTCATAATCATCGATTAAAATAATTTTATTTTCAAGTGCCCAAGAATATTTTAAAATCAAATAATAATTGTACTTACGATTTGCATACGAGTCAAATATTTTTTCCACCACAAGTATTTTTGCATATGCGGGCCCAAAGCTGACAAAAAGTAGTAGCTGTACATTACTGTATGAATGAATGAGTTAATGATTCCACCAAATATCAATTGTTCTCCTAAAAATATGRTTTAATTATTTGTTTTTTGATTATTCATTATCCGATCTGTGTAATGTGTATTGACTTAATTACTAAACGATTTGTTCATACTGCCTAATATAAGCTTCATTATGATTTAATAAAGAATGTAGGTAGGTACATTTAAAAATGTATTTATGTTCCACATTGTTTTGAAGATGAAATAACTTTTTTATAAAGAGTGGTTGTTTTAATTTTTAAAATTCACTATACAAGTTTTTTTAGATATTTTTTATCACATGCCTAATTGAAATCATTAAATATCAACATTAACTTGTGCAAAAAACAATATTTTTCATCGTTTCTTATGTTTTCACTTATCTATTTCTCAAAATGTAACATAAATTCTAATATCTTTAAACAAAACATTTTTTAAAGTATTTCAATAGGTAAAAATATAATTTTGAACGAATAGATATTTAATAACTATATGCATTTAGTTAAATGCCACTGCTGGGTAACTACCCCTTAAAACATCAATGCCAATGTATTTTTTTGCTCATATGCTATTGTAATTACTAATTATGTTTACAAACAGTATACCTTCTAATAAATGTTTAAAAAAAATAAGTATTTAAAAGTTAGAGGTTAGGCGAAC